ACGCACGGGGAGGCGCTTCTCGGGAAGGGGTCGGCGCCCGGCGCGCGGAGCGACGGCCTCCCTCCCGTGCACGCTTCGGGGGTTGCTCATGAAGGGGCCCCCCTGGCCCAGGGCGCCCCCCCTGGCCCGGGGCGCCCCCCGCGTTTCGCTCCCTTTTGGACCTCCTGCCCCCGTGAGGGCCTCGTGAGGGGTGCTCTGTGAGGCTGCGGGGGCATCCTGAGGAATCCTGGGGGGCACCTGGGCCAGGGGCACTTCTAGCAACGCCCGAATGCTGGCAGGAGGGATGTGGCTCCAGGCCCTGGCATCGCTCGGACGTGTGCGCTTCTTTCTTCGGCGAAACCCCTCGAGGAGCATCTTGGACTTGGTGGGCCCTGGAAAAGACGGGGCCGTTCTTGTTACCGGTTTTGTGGCCTCTCTTCGACGGCTCCGACGGCGTTTTTGTTGCCGGTTCCGTCGCCGTCTTTTTTTCCAGTTCCGGCTCCGGCGCCAATCCCGGAGCCGTTTTTTTGCCGTTTCCGGTCGCAAACAGCCCTGCCGCGTCCGGGGCCCACTGAGATCTTGGACCATCTTGCGGAAAAGACGCGCGCAACATCGAGCAAGGCACGGGGAAGGGACGCTTGGGCGATGGCGAGAGGTTCGGCGGTCAGTTTGGCGCGCTCTCTCCGCGGGAGCGGAGGTCGGTGCAGAGGGCTGGCACCCTCGACCTCCGTCCTTGGTTATGTTGTTGGGCAGGTAGCGCGGCGGCAAGGCAGCTGCAGCATTGTGTCCACTGCCCCCCTCGCGCTGGCAAGCCCAGGGAAGCAGAGGCCTCGCTTGGCATGCGCCCTTGCGATTCCCCGGGCTTCGAGCCCCTTCCGTGTGGGATGCTCGAAATCGCAGCGTCTTGTCGCGCGAGGGCTTGACCTGCTGGCTGGCAAGCTTGGTTTGCAAGCCTCAACTAGCAACATCCATGATATCTGTTGTTGCTCATCCATTCTGAATGTGTTGCCCCTTCATTGTGGAGGCCCCTGAATGTTCACACTGGTAACATCGACAACGGAGTTGACGACAGCACTCAAGTCAGCATGCCATAGCACAAGTACTTGTAATATTCCGAACAATAATCACAGCAGTGCCAGAACTATGCGCGGTTGCGACAAGAACGAACGCGCCAACAGCAGCAGCACGTGAAATAGTAATGCTGGGCTCGGTTGGGCGTCGGGCGAGCCCACACTAAGACCTAGCCCGCGCCATCTGGCAGCGAAGGGCACCCCCCCTCACCCGCGAATATAATTTCCTCCTCCTTCTCCTCCTCCTCCTTCTCCTCCTCCCCCTCCTCCTCCTCTTCCTCCTCCTCCTCTTCCTCCTCCTCCTCTTCCTCCTCCATCTCCTCCTCCTCCACCTCCTCCTCCTCCATCTCCTTCTCCGTTTTTCCTTATGGAAAACTCCTCCCTGTCGCCCCCCGAGGCCGGTCGAAAGGGCGGGCTGGGCGTTTCGCTTGAGATGTCCTAATTATTTGTGATCTTGTAGCTTCAGAAGTGGCAAGCGCTTCACGGATTGAGGGCGTGTCTTTTTCAACATGTGGCTCTCGGTTTAGCGCCGCGCACACTCGTTCTAAACAGTTGCAGGAGGTTCACAGATTGAGGGCGGGCCGTTTTTTTAATGTGGTTCTCGCCTTAGCGCCGTGCACATTCGTTCTACACGTGTGCAAGAGTTTCCCATATTGAGAACGGGTCGTGTTCAACATGTAGTTCTCGCTTTAACACTGTGCACATTCGTTTCGAACATTAGCAAGAGCTTCACGGATTGAGGGCGGCTCGTTTTCACAATGTGTTTTCGCCTTAGCGCTGCGCACATTTGTTTGTAATCACGTGCAAGAGTTTCATTGGTGATCATGATTCGCGTGCCAGAAACGGTGTTTTAGAGCGATTTAGGATTTTCAGAGCGCAGCAGTTACGCTGATTCGTGGAGTTGAAGTCCCAGGAATTGTTTTCTGGCACGATTCAGGATCGCCAAGATGTTCTAATCAGGTTAACCCGTGGCGTTGAACTCCGGAGAATCGTGTTTGGGCATGCTTCAGGATCTTCAACCGGTTGTCCTCCTACGGGGCAGTTCCCTCGGAGAAAAAGAACCCTTGCAGGGGCCTATGATGAGGGAGCTTGGAGGGAGGGCGTATTCCAACATCGTTGACGGGTCTTGGATTTGCACTGCTCCTCCTCCTCCTCCTCCTCCTCCTCCTCCTCCTCCTCCTCCTCCTCCTCTTTCTCCTCCTCCCTCCTCTCTCCTCCCTCCTCCTTCGCGCGTGCTCCCGCATGCCTGTTCCCTCCCTCCCTCCCGCCCCGTCTGCCTCCATGCTCGTGCGGCCGCGAGGCAGCGGAGATAGCCCTGGAGCACTGCCTGGGCATGACCTGCGACCCGATGCTCGGGCTGGTCCAGGTGCCCTGCATCGAGCGCAACGCGATGGGCGCCAACAAGGCCGTCAACGCCGTTGCTTTGGTGATGAAGGCTCCCCCGGGGCGGCGCAGAGCGGTGGTCAGCTACGACGACTGCTTGCGGGTCATGAAGCAGACTGGAGACGACATGCAGTCGAAGTATCGGGAAACGGCGCAGGGGGGTCTGGCGGCGGAGTATGACGTCTGGCTGCAGAAGCAGGAGGGCAAGAAGATCCGGGAGGTAGAGGAGACGATGGGGCTGAACCGCATACGGTGGGGCCCGGGCGAGCGCGCCACGCCGTCAAAGGCGCCCGCCAGGCAGGCATCCGACGGCAAGACGCTCCCCCTCGAATACTCCGACCTCTTCGAGCTGAACCAGCGAGTCCGCGCGAAGACACTGGACCTCAGCAAGTGCTAGGGGACCCTCCCGGGCGCGGGGACCCGGGCGCCGACTTGATGGCCAGCTGGCGCACGGGGTGAAGTCGGCAGCACGCGCGGGCTCCAGACACTCCAGGCCGACCGACATGGGGACACCGATCGGAGCAGCCAGCGAGTGTTGGGTGCAGCGGTGAGCCTTCGCCGCCACCGGGCACTGCGAGCCACCGCTAGAAAACCAAGCAGCGGCACAAGCACGAATTTTCGGAGTGGGGGCGCGCGTTTCGTGCGGTCGGCGCGGGACTTCCCTCGCCACATGTGGTGCACCTCCTCCCCCCTTCGCGCACGGAGCGCGAAGGGGGCGGCGCGGCATCTGGCGCCGCCATATTCCTATTCATATATCTTTATAGGGCCGGGGACGCCGGAAAAAGCCCCCCCCCCTCCCCCCCCAACGAATTTGGCCCTCCCCGGGCTTCCGGGCAACCCTTCAGACGACCCAGGAGAACCTCACGAGAGCCCGAAGACGGCCCCATACGGGTTCCAGGCGTTCCATCGCGCTCCCGAAACGATCCCAGAGAGCCCCAATACGGTCCACGACGACCCCCAAGAAGCCGTCATACCCCCCGGTCCGAAACGTCCCAAGAGGCCTCCAAGAGCACTCCCAAGAAGGCCCCAAGAGGCACAACTCAGAGATTTTCTGTGGGCTTTTGGTGAATTTTGGGGTTCTCCTCTTTTCGGCTTCCCGACGCTCCAAGACGGCGGTCTTCTGGGCGTCCGAGACCGCCTGGGAGGCTCCAAAATCGCACCACAACCATCCGAAAGGGCTTCCAGGCAGTCCAAGAGAGCCCCAAAACGGCACAACAGGGGTCCAAGATGGCCCTAAGAGAGCCCCATGACGGCCCAAGATGGCCAGAAGACACCCACCGAATCATTTCAAATCGTGACCAGGTCGTTCAGGGAGGCCGCGGTTGGAGGCAGGGTGGCCTGAGGAAGCCCCCAGAGGCCCCCAGAACACGCCCAGGCGGCCTCCAGAAGAACAACTTTTGTGAGGCCCCCAGAGGCTCTCCAAGGAGGAGCCTCCGCAAAAAAAAGCTGAGGAGGATGGGGAGAATGCGCAGGGTATGGCGAGAATGAGGAAAAATACACGTGGAGGAAGGAAAACGAATAACATTCTAATTAAAACGGCGATGCCGGAAAAGGCAACAAGGAGGTATCGCTAGATTGTCGGCTTGACCTTCCTGCCATCCCGCCTGCATACCACACTTCGAGGACCAAGGTGCATAGCGCGAAGCGCCACGGCAGCCTTGCATTGTCCGATGCATATATTTTGATAGGACCGGGGACGCTGGAAAA